CTAAATTGGGGATGACCTTTGATACTGAGAATGAGGTGCGAGAGTACTACAACAACTACGCTAAAGCAAAGGGCTTTGGTGTGACAAAAAGAAGCTCAAACAATGATGATAATGGACAGCTGAAGTATCTTACACTTTCGTGCTCTCGGTATGGTAAGACTCAGTCCAGATCAAGAAATATGTTGAAACCAAATCCAACAACCGGGTTAGGATGTAAAGCTAAAATCAATATTATCCGTGGTCCTGATGGGAAGTTTCATCTTTCAACTATCATTTTAGATCATAATCATACATTAAGTCCACACAAGTCTCGGTTATTCAGATGCAACCAAAAGTTAGACTTCCATGTGAAGCGAAGGCTTGAGCTGAATGACCGGGCTGGAATTCGAGTAAACAAGAATTTCAATTCTTTTGTTGTGGAAGCAAATGGTCATGAGAACCTAACTTTTGGTGAGAAGAATGCTCGCAATTTTCTAGAGAAAACAAGAAGGTTGAAACTTGGCAGAGGTGATGCTGAAGCGGTTCGTGATTATTTTGTCAAGATGCAATCCGACAACCCAAATTTTTTCAGTGTCATGGACCTTGATGATGAATCTCGACTAAGGAATGTCTTTTGGGCTGATGCAAGAAGTAGAGCAGTGTATGACTCTTTTCATGATGTCGTTAGTTTTGACACAACATATTTGACGAACAAATATGATATGCCTTTTGCTTGTTTTGTCAGAGTGAATCATCATGGACAATCAGTTTTGCTTGGATGTGCTCTATTATCAAATGAAGATACCGAAACATTTGTTTGGTTATTTCAAGCATGGCTCACATGTATGTCAAATCTCCATCCAAAAGCTATTGTAACCGATCAAGCAAAAGCAATTCAGAATGGTGTGGAAAGAGTTTTTCCAGAATCTCGATATAGATGGTGTTTGTGGCATATAATGAAGAAGATACCCGAGAAGTTTGGTGGATATGATGAGTATGATCACATTAAGGCTGCTATTGGCAAGGCAGTTTATGATTCATTAACAATTACAGAGTTTGAAGTTGCTTGGATGCATATGCTTGAGAAGTATGATCTTGGTGATAACGAATGGCTTAAAGGGCTTTACCGCCATAGGCACTGATGGGTTCCAGTATTTGTGAAAGATGCCTTTTGGGCAGGTATGTCTACTACACAACGTAGTGAGAGTATGAATGCCTTCTTCGATGGGTATGTTAATGCAAAAACTACATTGAAGCATTTTGTTAGCCAATATGAGAATGCTCTTCGTGATAAAGTTGAGAAGGAGAATATTGCTGATTTCAACTCTTTCAATTCAACCATACCTTGCATCACACACTTTGATATCGAGAAGCAATTTCAATCAATCTATACAAATTCGAAGTTCAAAGAATTTCAAGAAGAGCTAACACACAAGATGTATTGTGATCGGAAGTTAATAGAAAAAAAAGGGGCAATGGAAACATATGAAATAACTGAGGATGTGCTGATTGACAAAGAAAAATGGTGGGGAAAAGATATTGTGTACCATGTACAATTCAGTGAGGAAGAGTTTGAAGTTAAGTGTCCATGTCGCCACTTTGAGTTCAGGGGGATTCTCTGTAGGCATGTGTTATGTGTGCTCACTCACAAGAAAATCAAGGAGGTTCCTCCACAATACATTCTTGATTGGTGGAGAAAAAATGTGAAAAGAAAACATAACTTCATCAGATGCACATATGGCGGCATGGAAGATACTCCTGTTGCAAATCATTTTGATAGATTGTGCAACAGTTTCTACCCAGTTGCAGAGATAGGCGCCATGTCAGATGATTCATGCAATTCATTGATTGAAGATCTCTGCACCTTGAAAATTAAGTACTCTAGCAACTCAAGTTCTGAAAATAATAAGGATCAGGTTAGTGCACCAAAAGATCAATTGCAGGAAGAGGCGCCTTCTGATGGGAAGACAACAAGTAAAACTATACTAAGTCCAATAGCTGTTAGATGTGCTGGACGTCCTCCTTCATTGAGAAAAGAATCCAAGGTTGATAAGCTTATTCGTCAAGCAAATGAAAAGAAGAAGAAAGATGAACTAAGGGAGAAGAAAAAGGCTGCACAAGAAGAGAAGAAGGCTGCACAAAAGGAAGCTGAACAAAAGGTATTCTCCCTATATTATGTTTTTATTCTGTGAAAATAATAACCCAAACTCGTGCGTGTTTTCTTACTAAGTATTTATTTCAAGCTCGCTCCATGAATTTGAAAAAGAAAATGTCCAATAAAAAAAAGGAAATCATGACAGGATGATATTCTAGAACAAGATGGCCAAACTTGTAGTAGCATGGCTGAGGTATGCTTATTTCTCACATTTTTATTTCTAGTAAACTCTTAAACATCCATGTAATTTTATCACTTTCTTTGGAGCAGAAATCATTTGACTTGGGCATTACCAATGGCGACATAAATCCACCCCAAGGATCAACTACAGTATCACTTGGAGGTTCATCGACAATGGTTATGCCCCAAATTCTCAGAGAATATACAAGTATGCTGTTTCAAGTTCAGCAAGGATCGACTGTAGTGCCTAATTCTGCAGCATTACACTTCAATGAAAATTAAGGGCTCGACGATATGATGGACCAGAGTTTGGACATGATTTACGTAGTTTGAAGATGTTGGATGCAATATTTTGTATGAACTTGTCAACTTTAATGTAATACCTGATACCTGATAGGCACCAGGGCACTAGAAAAGTAGACGGATTTATGTTTTGTCATTTTGTTTCGGCCCAAGGGACTTGAATTTGTCTCTGTTATATGGTTCAAGTATTAGTTGATTCCACTTTCAGTTCCAGTTCAAATGATTAGGTGATTCTTTCATGTCGATCCTAGCAGAAACATCAGCAGCAAATACTCTTTCAGTCTCAATAACACAATGACAGAATGTAAGAGGCAAGAATATGATGAAACCCACTTTTGTATTGATCTCAGCCAAGTACATGAGTGCACGAACGTGCTAGTCAGTCGTGGCTAACTAAATCCCTGAATAGGGAGATATGTTTACAATGTACAACATCACGGAACAACAACAATATATAGGGATGTTTCCAACAGACATATTTCTTACTGAACTGCCTTGATTTTGTGCCCTTTCTGCATCAGCTGCTGGATCCTGAAAATGTTCACAGGGAGGGCACTAGCTGATGGTATGTTCAGAGAAGGATTGAGTCTGCACTTGTTTGCAGAGATGACATGTCCTGACAAGATATACACAGGCAACCATATGATAGTGTTGATGATGCAAGATTGAACAATATATTGGCTTGTTTAGCTTCTGTTATCAGAATCTGCATCTTGTGTGGTACTGTTTCATCACACATCTAACACAACTCTGAATCTGTCAAGCAAAAAGTAACATCATCAGACAACCAAGGGACATGGGCAATTTCACACAACATGCAGGATATTTGCGATTTTAGTTGCTCGACATGACAACAATGGAGGACCTCGCCGTGGCACAATCCGGCCAAGAGTTCGCGCCGCCGCAGCCGACGACCAATAGCTCGCGCCGCCGTCGCGGGAGACCAAAGATCTCGCGCCGCAGCCGCCGGAGACCAAGAGCTCGTGAGCGCCGCCCGCGTACGACTGAGCGCGCTGACCCTCGCCATGTCACGCTGCCGCTGATCTTGGGGAACATCCTCTCTGCCGCCAGCAATCGGCCGTCGCCGTCGCGTCGCCCGGGAGAGAAAGGGGATGAGCGGACGGTCTGACTGTTGTGCGCGAGTAATTTTCTGCTGTTTTCTGTTCGAGGGGGGTGGGCTGTGGGATGACGTGGACGTTTCCATATCAGCGCGTATCGCTTGGTCCGTAGCAGCGGCCCGTAAGTGTAGCATTATCGATGTAAGAATCCATGATGGAGCATTTTCCTTGGTCGTGGACCACATCATTTTGTAGGAACCAACCATGCCAGAAGTCTAGGCCAAGCCATGCTACTTCGATTTGATTTTGGAGAGTTTTCCTTGGTCGTGCACCACATCGTTTCGTAGAGAACCAACTGTGCCAAAAGAGTAAAAGGACCAAGCCACGCTACTTCGGTTTGATCTCGGCGAGGAGGATCAGAGGCAGTCAGAACTATGTATTTGAAAACACTTTCCTCCGAAAGATCCCCACCCCTCGCATCTGATCTCACAAAGTCACAAGGCCCAGGCCTTTGTACATTTAGCCACAGCAGAAAACTATTCTCATCCGCCATACCACATATATCTCTTTCCAAATTCCTTTTCCATTTGTTCTGCTTTGTAGCGAGATTATCAGAGGCTAGGGATTTAACATTCCACACCAAGTTCCACGTATTCCTGTCGCCCTTCCAAACAATACTACTTCCGGTCTGATTTCATCGGACTGCTTCAAATTACTATGCCAGCTTGTACGTACTTCAGACAAAGAAGTGCCTGGATGATTCGTAGTGCCAAGCCGGCACATCATCCTTCCGTTTGGGTAGTTTTATCTTCAAAATCTCCTCCGCATCATTTGGCCAGAACACCTCCCGCACCAAAGTCCCGTTCCATTCCTTACTCTCACCTAAAAAAAGATCACAAACTCTGCTAGTCCGAGACCGTTTCCTGCTACTCCCTCCGTCCGAAAATACTTGTCATCAAAATGGATAAAAAGGGACATTTTGATGACAAGTATTTCCGGACGGAGGGAGTACTAAATAAATATACGTCTAGATACATCCCTTTTTATCCATTTTGATGACAAGTGTTTTCAGACGGAGGGGGTACTAAATAAATGTAAATAAACACATAAACTAGGCAGGGGGAGACCACAATGCTAAATGTAAAAAAATAAACATAGTAGGACAAAAATATGTTACATTTACTTTAAAAGAAAAAGTGATGCCATCCTGTCACGAGGATAATCCACATTCATCACCCACACGCTTTGATTAAACCAAAGTTGAGTACATTCCAGCGATTAACAACGAGACCCCCGACAAATACCACCACCCTTTAATTAAGCAGCTAATCATATAGGCCCTCCTGCTCCCAGCCGTCCACGAGGAAATCTACCATTTCCTGCCATTGGAAAACCAAAAAGATAAGTAAAGACAAATGTGAAGAGTAACATGCTATGAGGTTTGCAGGAGATCTTACACCAAGAGGGATCGGCTGTGCAAATGTCTTGGTGCTTCCTAGCAGGCTCTCATATGTAGCATTCCAACTACAGTCAACAGGCATATGCATGACAAAGGGACCAGCGCCAATCTCAAACAGTTGTTGCAAAAAAGACACCACCAGGAACTAAAACTAATGTCTAATACTTCAAAGTTTACATGAGATTCCAGAAAAGGTGTTACACAAGATTCTGCACTCTTGGAAATCACTAGTCAAAACCAACAGACTGATGATACATATAATATATCCTCGAATCAAAGTGCACCACAAATTATGATAGCCGGTCAGGAGGATGCCAGAAATTGAGTACACAACTTCAAGCAGGTAAGGTATTTAATGCTATGATAGACTAGTAGACTGTTTTGGTTATTGCAAAATCTTCCGAATATTCAAGATCTTTTAGGCTCCATTAGAACAAATGAAATGCATGAAAGTTACCCTATTTTTGGCTCCCGGGTCTTTTGACGCTGAGAATTAAACCTTCTGTTTCCAACCCACTGCTGTCTAGTCTGATTCCAGAGTAGAAGGCCTACAGAATTAGAAAAAATATATTGTCGGTTAAGCTAGAGTTTTGGCTGGCTGAGTAGCCACTGTCAGCAATTTCAAGATCATAAAGCACAGCTAACAACAGCAATTAGTCATAAATAGAGTAACATCACTACAAAGTCAGCACAACTACTGCGTATAGCCATATAAGATTATCATTTGTGAACACATCGTGACATAGTGTGTCAAGGAAATAATAGTCCTTGTTTGATGATCAAGATGAACAATACAAAGAGAGTGCTTTTGTTACTCCATTTATGTATTGCTTGCTAAGAGATTTTTGCATACTCTGGGAACCTCTTTTCCTTCAATCATGTTGCGGTTGGATATTTCAGTTAATTCAGAGGACCTGTTGATGCTGCACATGTTACATATGTGAAGCTGTGTTTCTTGTTGTCCTTTTCGTTCTACCATCGCCTTTTCTCATGTTTTATATCTTTTGACGCTGATTTTATATATTGATTTGTTCAGGCAGGGGATCAAGGTTTTCTCAATTCATATTATATTCATTTTGCCAATTCCCGTATTTATGATGCAATAAAACCTTTAACGCCTTAGCATCACCAACACCTTCCCACATGGTATAATGTTGATGCCGGTCTTTACATGCTTGCCAGTAAGGTCCACATTCACGCACAGATCATGTGTTTTTGTGGCATTCTCTGATACTGACGGTTTTGTTACTATCAGATAATTGATTGTTCTAGAAAAACAACAGCATAGCATCAGGATCCCTGAATAAAGTATACTCAACCCAGCATTTAAGTTTACTAGAAGGGTTGGGCGCGCTTCGCTGCACCATTGTTGTTGTTGGGATTTCATATAAAGATAAAAGTTGGTTTGTCGCGTGGGGAAGATGATGAAGTGTTTTCTTTTATAATGCAGTGTTTTAGTGAGCTTTCTTGGCGGTGTGGTTGTATGTTATCTGCTAATCAACCAATACTTATGTGGGAAAGTTTCTTGCGTTGGTGGCCGCTTGTACTATACGCATGTATTATATTAGTGTTATAGTTCAGATGTTGGCGCTTCTTTTTTTGAGATGGTGAGAGGCTGCACGGGACTGATGTGTTTTTACAGGCTGGTTGCTACCAATTAATTTGAGAAATAGTGGAGCCAATCAAAATCGTGAATCAAATTCAAAATTAAATACCTGAATTGAATGAAAGAGCTCATTGAGAAATAGTTGACCCAGTCAAAACATGAACTAAATCCAAAATTGAACACCTCAATTTAATAGGAGAGCTCCAAAATTAGGGAGCATAGTGTATTAGATGATTATCTTCTGATGGTAACAAAGAAACAAAACAAATCTTTATAATTTTATTAATAATCTAGCTGGCATAATTATTTATTACTAGCTATAAGCCATAACCTAACTGAAGGTATATGGAAGTGAGAGGGCCATGCATTGTGGAAGGTTCGATTTTTTTTACCTTGATTTACAAACTCATTTGGGTTGCTGCTACTTCCAGCTCCATGCTGCTCACTAGATTGTGCTGCTGTGCTGATGGAAGACATGCTACGCTGCGACTGCAAGGCACTGTTCTCCATTTCACGTGGACTTGTACTCCAAAAATCTTCAGACAAACTACGATGTTTTATCGAGCGCCCTTGAATCCTTAAACCTTTAGAAGGCTCATCAACAGCTGTTATAGGAGTAGACTTCGCACATCCAAAACAATTTCTGCTCTGTTGCAAACCAGGATTGACCAATAAATGATTAGAACCAAGTATTTGAGAGAAGTTGCAAAAAAAAGAAACAAGAAAATGCTTGTGTAAAACCTATTGTGAGATCACTTCCACTCCAAGCTTATAATAAGGTTTTACAGCAGTTGCCTGGTTTTCCATTGTGATTACATGAAACATGTCCACAATTAAGGCAAGGTAGTATGCATTAAACAGAACATTAATACAAAATCTAACTTGTGTGTCAATCATTTAAATAGTATCTACAGAATATGTGTTCATTTAAAACATTTGAAACTTCTCTCATTTGATATCGAATCAGTTATGATTCTATGCACATTTAAAACTGGATTAAGAATAAGTGCTCATTCGGACTTGATACTCGGTGTGGTGAAAAAGACGCTACACTAGATCTGCACATACTTACTGACAATATCCAAAAATGTCTTGTTTTTGGAATTCAGTAATTAACGAAGGTTATCATATTGATATTTGAGCGCATGGCAAACATCAGCAACTCTGGTGCATTCCCGTAAAATTTGGAAAGTTGTTAGCTAGATATGTTGAAGTTGAATCTATGTTTTTTGCAAAGGAAAAATATATACTACTCCCTCTGTACCGAAATACATGTCGTTGGAGTAGCTGAACTTTAGCTACTCCAACGACATGTATTTCGGTAGAGGGAGTACATGATAATACTCAGCAGTATACTCACATTCTTAAGCTTAAGTTTACTCAGAAATATCAGCCAATCTAAGCAACTAGTTACAGGACTGATAATTTGTCTTTTCTAGTTCCGCAAGCAAATACAAAATTCAATATCACTGGACCAAGCAAAACATCGATTTATGTTTCGCTGTTCCGTGCAAGCAGATTTATGCTAAACCTCCCTAGAAAGCCACTGTCTGGAAGCTTCAGGGGCAGGAAAGAACAAGGAGCTACAAGGAACCTAACAGCAGACCAAAAGTATCAGTCTATAAACAGACTTGCTGGAAAACCACCGAACATTCCTTGGGTAGGTAATGACCACGAACAAGAAGACATGGTACCATATCAAGCAATCATTCAGGTCGAGTTCAAACAGCTGACCCCTCCCGGTAACCAATTATTTCTGACCAACAGGAGCTTATCAGGTAAGTGAATACAGAGACCTTAAATGCATGTCTAAAACCTATCTAATAACAGAGATCATTGCAGATTGGCACCACTACCATGAACAAATTTCATCATATGAACCGCAGCAACCGACCGCCTACACGCCAAAAAAAAAAAAATCACCTTGGTCTCATAGCGGTAGACTAAACTCTGAGAAACTACCGAGAATCACAAAATCATCCAAACCAAACGGGAGCACCGATCCACTTCCCGCGCGATACGATACAGGTCTCCTCTAATAACCTGAGACGGAGCAATCGCGCGGCAGCAGAGCGCCCAGCGGGCATGAACAAGGCGAGCGAGAGATGGAGCGAGGTGGATAGGCAGGGAGTCGTACCCCACGCAGGCGACGAGGCGGCGCACCCACGAGGAGAGCGACCCGCAGCCTAGCAGCATAGCATCCGGCTCGCCGTCGAAGGAGGCGCACGCACGGTCCCCAGCCCCGCCGCCGCCGCCGCAAACCCTAACCCTAGAACCACCCGCCCGTCCGGGGGATCCGCTACCTCGCCTGGGTTCCCTCGCTCGCACGCACGCACGCACGCACCGTTGCTCTCAGGCGCTGCTATTTTTTTCTCTCTCCTTGGAATTGGAATTTCGATCGAGGGGAGGAGGTCGGGGGATTAGGACATTATTAGGTGGCGGCTTTCTTCTCCCTTATCTGCTTTTGGGTCTGTGCGCGGAGTGGGGGAGAATCATTGCAGTTGGTTGGCGTTGCTGGGCTAGCTTTTTTCTTCTTTTTTCTTTGGAGCTACGTTGCGTTGCTAGGCTAGCTAGGCGCCCGGCAGGGGAAGATCCCGCGTGCGCGTGGCCAGATTGCTCCGCGTGTGCAGGGCGGGGGGAAAGTGGTAGCGCCCGTGCGAGGGTGCCAGGTGGGGCCTTCCCGGGGATTCGCTGGAACCCGGATCAGCTGAGACTACCCATAGTGGAAGTAATATAGATAGTAACATCACACATATCTAGATAAAATAGATGATGTGACAAGTAATAAATGAAGAAAAAGGGACATATAATAATATAGTTAGTTACTACTAGTATAAGGGCATTTTCAACAGTTTGTATGTTAGCTTGTTGGTAAAATATGACATGTCATCAACCAACACCTTAACATACAACAACTCCAATGGGTTGTATGTAGTTTGCCTAATAGGATGTGAAATAATAAATAAGATGCTCTCTCATTCTACATTGGAGCTTGTGCAAAGGGTGTTGGTTCAGTACATACAACCTTTCTCTCTTCCCTTATTTATTATATGACACATCATCAAAAATCCTAGGTGGCAAAATCTACCAACAACTATCTTACAACCATTGAAGATGCCCTAAGTAACATCACACATATCAAGACAAGATGAATCTATAGCATAATAAATGAAATATTGCATGTTACCTCACATATGTTACTCCCCACTATAGATGTAGTAACATAGAGTAGTAACATGGGCATGTTATCACTCTATGTTACTACTCATTGTGACTAGTGAGCTAGTCGTCCTGGCTAGGATTGCTTTTTTTAGGGGCTATAGAATTAGCTTGGCTTGGAAAACTTTGAAAGCTGACATGCAAGCCTGCTACTGGTTTTTTTAACATAGTATAGAGCACATACATGCGCATACACTCATCTTTATGAATGCACACACGCATATCCTGCCTCTATGAGCATCCCCGGAAAATTGAGCCGGCATGTCATCTTAAAATTTATTAGTACCTGCTAGAGCGACTTAGACACCTTGTGTGTGTTTTACTGTACATCAAAATACATTTATTGCAAGATGAGCATCATATTATATTTTTACAAGAGTATCACCAATCTCTAAGAATAGATTTTCTATTCATCCCGCACACATCTTACTTCTAACTAGTTTAGCTAAATCATGGACAACATAATTAGTCTATTTAGGAGCATGCTCCAGAAAATCACACGCAAGATGATATATATCATCAAAAACTGCCGCCGATTGACCGAAAGAGCGACCTCCGTTCTTCATTGTTTCTATCACCTCAATGTTGTCGGAGTTCACCTCTATGCGGTTACACCCGACTATAGTTGTCAAATTGAGACCAAATTGTAAGGCCAGTGCCTCGGCCATAAACGTATCTCTGCACTAATCGATTTCCCCGTTTCTTGTCGTGACGAATTTGCCATTCGAGTCTCTGATGATAGCGCCATACAAGCCCTTGAGTAAGTCTGGGTCAAAATCCCCATCCATATTTAGATTTACATAGTTGCTCCTTGGTCTTTCCCAGACATGTCGCTTGATCGTCGCCTTTGCATCACTTGCCATAGTATAGTTAGCAATCAAAGCTCTGATTGCCATTACTATGAATTTAGGTTAGCAACCAATGATGATGGCGGCTTCTAAAACGTGTGCATGTGGTATGCGCTTTAGGGAGGTTGGACCAGTTGTTGGTCCCGATACATTATGTGGATGGATCGGCAACGACATCGTTTTTAGATATGAGGAGTGAGAGCACTCCACATTATCGAGTTTGTAGGTGTGAGTTGTGGCTTCAGGTGGATTGGTGTATGTTCTTGTCAGACCTTTGTGAAATAATTAATAAAAATGGTTGCATGCATCGATTGATGCAGAGGCCGAGGGTTTAACCTCCTTTTCCAAAAAATGAACTTAAGTTCCTCAACCTTTTCATTATGCCCTAACTTTCTCCTCTCCCACCATAAATACCAAGAACCAATAGCAATTGCTTCCGTTGAATTTTCGAGACCAACGACCACACATTCTTCAGCTGCATGTAGCAATAAATATTTAGCACAACTTCTCCCGCATGATCCATGGCGCATGCTTTATCAATAGCAAAGTCCAAACCCAGTAACCGCCATACCTCTTTAGATTTTGCACAAGTGAATAACATATGCTCGGTATCCTTCGCTCCTATACCGCATGTAGGACATTGTCCATTGACTTATATATGTTAGTTAGCCAGAGTCATCTGACATGGTAGCGATCCTAACAAAGTTCACCAAAAGGAATTTTTAACCTTGGCAGGACAACTTAAGCTCTAGATCATCCCCCATATTAGTGAATTCCGTGAGGGTCCGACAATATTTCTCCTAATATTTTATGCCCGTATTGGTCGTGCCACTCCGCAAAGTATGTCGATCTCACTAAGAATCTCTCGCTATTGCACAAGTTCCATGCTACGAAGCCCAACATATTAAATTTAGGCAACGGAATCGCAAGGATATGTGCTGCATCAACTTGCCAAAATGTGGAAACCAACTCTTCATCTCAATGACCTGTAACAGGGTCAATGAAATAACTTGCTTTTGATAGTAAATTGCCTCCACGAGGTGTGATCACTTTCCTGTTAGGTGAGTTATAAGGATCCATTCATCATCCCAAACATTGATCCGGCAACCATCACTAGTCCTCCATATATGACCTCTTTTTAGTGTTTGTATCCCTGACATAATACTTTGCCATGTGAACGAGGCTCTTTTTTTCAGAGTTGCATCCAAAATATCACAATCTGAATAATATTTGGATTTGACAACACACGTACAAAGAGAATCTGGATTATCAATTACCTTTAGATTCTTTTTAGAGCTAGTTTACAATGCATGATAGAAAAAATAGAAAATAAACGTTAATTACATATGGGTACATAACTTGCACGGGTAACAACCCCATAAAAATGGTACATCAACTTTGATGCGGAATCATTTAGGCCAAAATGGCATCTAAACTAGACACGCCGGCTGCCATGTACGCCAGGGTCAGCCGGCTGTGCATCATCCCACACCAACCTAGACCGACACAGCAAAAAGACAAGGATGGGCTTCACCGTTGGTAGTATAATTGTCGAAGCTTTTCTCAAATTGCAACATGTGTTGTGTTGTTGCACGCAGCATGTTTTGCCTCATACGCTAAATTTTACCGACGACAACCCACGCGCCGCAAAATACACCGACAGTCTTGTCTCGTACCTTCTTGGTTTAATCACGTGGGACAACACGTGTCGTTCATCGAGTACTAAAGCACCACCATCAAGCATCGAGCTCCGTGAGCATGGACGTTACCTACCACGGCCGTAATCAGTGATGACGGATTTAATGTGCACCAGGCACCAATACTTTAGGCGCAAGTTTTAGGGCGTGTTTGGTAGCATGTATGGACCTAAGCCTAGTTGTTCTCCTATGATACATGCCGAGTGTAGACATGTTGAGTCCATGCATTTGTTGTTGTTGTTGTTGTTGTTGTTGTTGTTTGGCAGCGGTGTATGTGCTGAGACATGCTGAGATGAGACTTTGTTTGGCAGCCTGCATATGTTTAGACACGCTGAACAATTTCCAATTCTAAATACTTTTTTTGAATGGTGAATAAAATTGAAAAAATGTGAACAAAGATTTATTTATTTTTGAAAATTTAAACAAAATCTAAAATTCTGATTTTTTTTGGAAATGTAAACATTTTTGGAAATTCAAACAATTTTTGAATTTTTTGAAAATTTAAATAAATTTCAAATCCTGGATATTTTTAAAAAATAAACAAATTTTGAAATTCTAAATATTTTTTGAAAATTTAAACAAAATTTGAATTTATGAACATATTTTGAAAATTTAAACATATTTGGACATGGTCTCGTGGTCAGGCCAAGCATGGTTGCCTCCATGCACCCTCTCTAGGGTGCATGAGATGGGTGATACGTCTACAACATATCTATAATCTTGATTGTTCTATGCTATTATTATATCAATCTTGGATGTTCATTATGTAATTCTGTATTATTTTTTGGGACTAACCTATTAACCTAGTGCCCGCTGGCAGTTGCTGCTTTTTGCTTGTTTTTGGCTTTTCAGCAAATCAATATCAAACAGAGTCCGTGTAGAGTGTGATGGCAGTTCCTTACCTCCTTTCGTCTTAGAGGGTACGATCTTAGTCTTAGCACCTTTTAGACTCTTCATAGTGATCAACAGATATAATTCTCAAGTGACTCAACAAATAGAGCTATGCTCCCCGACAACGATGTCGGAAAAAAGTCTTGATGACCCACAAGTATAGGAGATCGCAATAGTCTTCGATGGTAGTATTTCACCCAAATTTATTGATTCGACACAAGGGGACCAAAGAATATTTGTAAGTATTAGCAGTTGAGTTGTCAATTGAACCACACATGGAGAACTAAATATCTGCGACAAAGTGTTTAGTAGCACAGTAGTATGATAGTCTGATAACAATGGCAACAGTAGCAACAGTAATAGTAGTAGTTTTGTAGTGATTGTAACAACAGCAACAACGAAAGTAACTTAACAAAGATCAATATACGACAAGCGTAGGCATTGGATCCGTGATGGATATTTGTGTTGGATAACATTCATCATATAACAGTCACAACCTAGAGCGATACACAATAGCTCCAATTCATCAATGTAATGTAGG